TTAATTATACTAATATTTTGTATAATTATAATGTATATTATATATTAAATATAATTATTATTATATATTATGATATTTTTAATAATAATATAAATATAATAATATAATTTATTAATATTATATATATGTATATATTATAATTATATGCACATATAATATACATTTATAAATATACATATATAATATAAATATATTATTATATAATATTAATAAATTTATAATATATATTATATAAATTAATTATATTTAATTAAATAATTATAATATATATTTATATAATATATGATATATATGTATATAATAATTATAGTAATATTATAATAAAATATATAATTATAATATATATTATATACATAATTATATATATGTATATAATTATATATTATTTTTTTAATTGGTGACTGGATGGGCCCCATTTCTAAATATGAATCAGACTTGAGTTTTGTCCAATATCCTCCAAGTTACTAGGGAATTGAGGAATTTTAAATTTTTAGATATGATTCCAAAATCTCGATTCCGATAGTAATAATCCAAATAACAATTATAGATTTTATTTCAATTCTCCATTCCGAAACCCTTTTACCAAACGCCACCTCAATAAACGAAAATGACAATTTCTATGAAAAGAAATGTGTAAATCTTCTGCATAAATCTTTTTAGAAATTAGGTTTTGCCCCTCCAAAATTTTAAAAGTCCTTTTCATATTCTTGTAAATATTATTCTCCGTCCTCCAAATTTTTACAAAAACATAAAAATTCCCCTCAAGCATACATCTTCATAAATCTTGCCCTGTAAATCCCAAGCTCTGGTTCCGCTAGTGCTTCTGTGCACATAAAAGTATCATCATAATTCCTGCATGAAGCCATTTAAGTTTGACCGCTCTCTTTCTTGTGCTAAATTTTCACCGCTGTCTTCTGTGATATTTGAACCATGTCCTCCTGAAGCTGAAAGTTCTTTTGCTTTTGATGTGAACAACAAAGGTGTCTGCTTTCCCCCTACGCTTTAAGATGAATTGTAACAGGGCAGTGACGGAGCTAGGGGGCTGATGAGGTCATGGCCCCCCTAAATTTTAAAAATTTTAATTTATAATGTGTAAATATATGTGTAAAATAAAGTTGATCTCCCCTAATTTTTTATAATTTTAGTTTTTATTATGAAAGTTTATATATATATATATATATATTTATAATTAAAGTTAATATTTGAATTTTTTTTTAGATGTCATATATTTAAATGGATAGAAATTATTTTGAACATAGCATATTAAGAAAATTTTTACCCCCTAGAAAAAAATATTGGCTCTGTCACTGGTAATAGCTAAGGGACAACTTTATACGTCTGATTTATTTATGTAATCCTCTATTTCCCCAAAAACAAAAGTAGGAATATTCGATATAATAATAATAATAATATATGTATAAATGTACATTTAATGTTATAACAAATTCACCAACTGGATGAAACTGGACAAACAAACTGCCTCCAGTTTGTTTGGACAAGCCAAATTTGGTTTGCAAAATTTGTTTTCACAAATCCCAATCACCTTTTTATCTTCCCAATCACCTTTTTATCTCACATACATCACATCACAAAAAGTGCTACAGTAAATATCTCAAATAAATCATCCAAATAAACTCTTATCCAAACAAATGGCTCTGAGTCCATGACTTGTATACAACAACCTATTTGCGAACTTCATAAATTTTAAAAATTTTCAAGTTGACTGGGTACATTCTAATCAAGACTTTCGAAGACCAAAAGACCTCAAACTTCCAAGGAAAACAAGAAGACTTAGAAAAAGAATGCAAGATTTATCCTAAAGAATACCTTAGCTTTAGGATGAGTAAAGTTTGTATACACTGATTGTCAGTGTATATTAGATTAATCTATAAATAAAATTTATATTTTTTTTGTTGTGATTTTTTTACAATTTTATCCTTTACTTCTTTGCACGATTACAAGCCAAGAATCGATCCATCTTTTCAGTTTTCAGCGAAGCGTAGTTTTGTCACGAAAATTTAATATAAGGATGATTTGGATTGTATGTGAAGACACAAGGAGAGTGCACGCATAAGTTATCTCCTGTCATTTGGTCTTCGAAAATCTAATTGAATCTGCTTTTAGAACTATATTATGTTTATCAGTGTTTTACAAAAGGAAAGAAAGGTAGGAAATCATAGAATATCTGAAAGAAAAGCAAGTGGGTGAAGAAAGAGGAATATCGCCATGCATGGTAATTAAAATTTTTGGCAAGCGATAGAGAAAGTACTACTATTAGCTGCTAATTAAAGCAAAATTTTGATTGATGGACAAATTTAGTCAATGGCATTAATTCAAGGTGGAAACTTTCCACTTAAACTTTCTTCCCAATAAACACGAATCTGTCTCTTTCTTCCTCTTCTCACAAATAGTATTCCAAATTCAATTCTACCCACGCGAGAATTCAAAGACATACCTACCTGCTACTAAATTCAATTCTAAACACTTTTTTTTTTTGGAGGTTAAAAACTCTGTTTCCATCAGTAAAACCCACATCCAGTGGAAATTTTACACAGAACTTTACCCGAACGTCCCAAATGGCTGACGTTCAACAGGCAAACGCCCAACAACACTTTTGCTCCGTTCAAATGCTTCGAGACGAGACATTTGGTGCTCGCCGGGCTCCGGAGCTCATCCCAAAAATACCTTTCAAAACAAAATGATACTACGTAAACGCCTTCCTGCTATATTCCTGCTCTTATTTTCCAGTCATCTATAAAGACAAAGAATAAATGGGAAATAGATACAGACTCTATGTTTGGATAGCAAATTTTTCCAAAAATTGTGTGGTCTTTGTCTTTTGCCGTGGCTATAACGTCCAGTCCCACTTTCTCAATAAATGGTGTGGTCTTTGTCTTTAGCCATGGATTCAATTCTTTTTTCTATCACCCAAGAAAAAGAGAGGAAGATGGATACATTTTTGTTGAGGTGTTTCCATCGGTAAAACCACATCCAGTGGAAATTTTACACAGAACTTTACCCGTCAAAGTCAAGCATTTTGGATTCCCAAAAGATGATCAATTCTTTTCTATGGAAAAAGTTTCACTAAACGAAGATGACAATTTCTTTGACTCCGTAAAGGTTTGGCAAATGCTTATTGACAGGCTTTATGATGCAGAAAATGTTCTTCATGCGTCTCAATTTTTATCGTATATATGCAAAAGTCATTCATTCCTCAATCAACGGTGGAAAACACAAAAACTCATTTAGCTTCATAAATTCTTGTCTTGCATAAATCAATTTGCTTTTCTTCCTATACCATTTAGCTACTACCCACGCACCTCCAAATTGTTTTTGTGATGTAAATGAATTTTGTTCTCATGAGTTGTACATAACTGAAAGGCACTGAGTGTGTTTAGATTGAAATGATTTGAAAAAAAAAAATTTGCTTCACAAATCTCAATTATCTTTTTATCTCACATATATCACATCACAAAAAGTGCTACAATAATTATCTCAAATAAATCATCCAAATAAACTCCTATCCAAACAAATTCAGTCTATTTCATTCGTCTCATGATATTTTTGTCACATTTGGAAATCCGTGCTTTTTATGTATAATAATAATAATATATAGTAGCAAAAAGTTGAGCCCATTTGTTGCTTCTTTCCCGTTTTACCCCTTACTTGAACCCATTCGATGAAATCATGAAATAAGAGTAGAAGAATTTGTTGAGAAGTGAGTAATTATGAGTTTTGTGGATTCATGAATAGTCTTGTCATTATTCTTTTTTTAAAAAAAAATTAGGGTTGCAAGAGAAAAGGGTTGTAAATATTTAACCAGATCAACGTTACCAACGATCACCATCACCTGAATCTATTGAAATAAATAGATGAATCTGATGAGACGGAAGAGGGAAGTGGAGGAGATAGGGAGTGGTACCATGACGGAGGAAGCGAAAGGCTTGGGAGAGAAGTGAGAAAATATGGGATAAATGAGAGATAGCATCAAGTTAAGGGGGGAAAATCACAAAAAAAAAATCCATTTTGAATATTCAAATCCTATTAATATTGATATAATAAATTTTGGGTCACCCGATCTATGAGTGGGATCATAGATCAAGTCTATCCAAATATTTACCAAGCGCTAACCTGGTCTCTCATGCTTTTCTTTTTGGATTAGTCCATAATATTTGTCACTTACTCAATACAGCAAAAAGCTATTCCTTGATTTCCAAGTTTTACCCTTAATTGTTATTAATTGTCATTAATTTGGAGTCCGAGAGGAATTGCAAATTCAGATAATTATTTAAAGAAGGAAGTGATTGTGGGCTCCGTGTCATTCATGTCTTCTCACACAAAGAAGGACTCAGACAATTAATTAAAGCAAGAAAGTGATTTGTGGGCTCCGTGTCTTCTCACACAAAGAAGGACACTGAAGTATTTAATCCTACAGCTGACAATATCAATACAACAACTATTCCTTCCCTCCTCCCTCCCTGCCCGTTTCTCAAATCATTATGGCTGTCTTCTTGCCCTTCCTTTGTACAACCATCAAAACCTTCTGCTAAACTTTTCTTTAATCTTTAAATTCAGCTTCCTCATCAAAAGTTTTTCTTCTCTCACAAACACCCTCTTAACGATGGTTAGATCATCTAGGATCTTGCAGTCCCACATGAAATCAAATTCCTCAATATTTACCATAGTTTGGTGATGTGGCAAATTCTATACCGCTTGATCTATGGATGGGACTACTTTTCTGTAGATTCATTACGTGAAATTCACGGACTCCTAGATTGAGTTGGCTATATATGGTAAAAATACTTCTCCTCACAAGTTTATGTAGATGGAGTTGGCTATATGCATGGTGAAACTACTCGACTACTTTTACTGTAGATTCATTGAGTACTACCCGACTGGCCAAACGCAGACCGATTTTTACTGAACAAAACGGTCCAACTGGATTTCAGTATTCACTCCACACTCAAAAATAATTTCCAAGTCTTTACGTTCGCAACTTCGTGTCGTATATATTCTCCAACTTTGTCGGTCCTTCTCACTTTCAGCATTTTGCTCGCTTTCCAGCTCATTGTTCTTCTCAGCTTCTTCTCTCTCTATCTGGTTCTTTCCGAGAAGAAAAATGGCGTTTGGAGCCAGGAACGAGCAGGAAGTCAGAGAAATCGTGAAGCCTCGCACCGACAAAAGAGACTACCGAAGAATTGTTCTTCACAACGCTCTCGAGGTCCTCCTCATCAGCGATCCAGAAACCGATAAGGTACTAAATTTCAATCCATCCATCCGGTTTCCTCTTTTTCCCCCTGCTTAATTTATTTTGTTGATTTAGTATTAAATTTTCTTGCGAAAATTATTTTTATTAAAATTCTACTGCTTTTTTGGTCATTTTTTTCCTTGTCATTGATGCGTATTTTGTTGGAGTTTCAGTGCGCAGCTTCGATGAATGTTGGAGTAGGTTCTTTTAGTGATCCAGAAGGTCTTGAAGGCCTCGCTCATTTTCTTGGTATGATATTTTGATTTATTTTCTCAGTCTTTAATTATTGCAAATAAATTTATATTTCTCATTGTATAATCTCCACAAGCATATACACATGCACTTCGACTTCTTGCTTGTAGTTGCTTCTAATTGTACACTTACCATTGAATGAAAATGGATGACGTGTACAAATAGTTTCTTGATAATTTTGGTTTTAACAGAAGTAAAGATATTGTTGACTCGGAATCCGTGAATATAAGATATTAGGGGAGTTAAAGTTGTTCATTTTGGTATTTTATTTTTAAAATTTTGGTTTTTCTTTTTTCTTTTTTTGGGTGGGGGGAGGGGTGTTTGCTGTGAGATTTTGAGTTCGCTGGACTGATTTTCGATGTAGAGAGCTTGAACACCAAGAGTGGCTGCTGTAATTTTTGACTAAAAAGTTTTTCTATTAATAACAATTCCCAAAAAGAATATAACAAAGATGGAATCTTCCCCCCACCCATCATCCCCTCCTCGACCTCAAAACTGAGAAATCATAATCGAATCTAATACATAAATAAAATGAAGTGAAAAAAGTTGGGGCTTTCATTCTAGAAAGCTGTTGTATTTAATGGAGTACTGAGTGGCAGTTTAGTTTTATTTAACTTACTCAAATTGAATTCTTGTAAATATTTGATTCCATAGGTGAAGTTGTACTCATATCCCCTTTTATGATCTAGATGGTATTTTTTTTTTAATCAAATTTGTCACATTCTTTCTGCTGTCAAATCAAGTTCTCTTTGTTCCCTGCCCACAAGAACAAAAGAAATAATTAGTAAAATTACTAAAGCAAATAAATGACAAAGGAAAAGAAATTGGGGACTTCCCTATACAAAGATGTTGTATTTTGTTAATTATAGAGCGGCACTTGTAGTTTTGCATAACTTAATCAAATTGGAATCATCATGTAGATTTTATTATGCAGGTGAAGTTGTACTTTTCTCCCTCATTGTGATGTAGTTATTCCATGAATTATACAAGTTTTTCCAGATAATCTGATTTTCTCAGGCCTTACAATTGTGCTTCTACAAAATGTGATTTATGCTGAAATCTTTTCCTCATTCAGTGTCCCGAACTCATGGTTTTCTAGTAGAAGTTTTTTCAAAATATAACTTCTTAAGGTTTTTGTATGGGTTTTTAATGTTGTCGACTAATGATTACAGAGCATATGCTATTCTATGCGAGTGAAAAGTATCACTTGGAAGACAGTTACTCGAAGTACATCACAGAGGTAACTTTTCTTTGCCTAATGTTGTAGGTTGTCATTTTCCTACTTGTTGAAATTGTGACTCCTTTTTCTAGTCTTTGAGTCTTGCTGATATGATTTTGTTCTTGAGTTTGAGAATTGCACATTTTGTAATTTCTGTTTATGCTCTGTGTTTGTGTATTTTTGTCCTGCTTGTGATGCATCCTCAGCTTAATTAGTCTACGAACTGAAACCTGATAATTAATAGGGGAACACGAGTGACTGATTTCCTGCCAAAATTTATAGGCTGGGCTTTTGAAAATCATTGAATTGTTTCAGTTCTCCTGACAAGAAAATTAATATCAAGCACTTTTTTACCTGATTTGAGAATTTAACAGTAAGACATTTTTGTATTCTTAGGATAAAAGTACGTAAAAATTTGTTTAAATCTCAATTGGATTCTACTGTTTTAAGTTTGTTAAGGATCTGAAGATTATTTGAAGAAACATGTACTGACCTTGGGGCTTCAATTTCATTGTATACATTTCAACTTCGACTTCAGTTCTATGGATTGTATAGTTAAATTTGTATATGTCTGCTGGATAGGTTGATGACACAATAGTAACTATTGTTTTTATTACAGTTGTTTGGTTCTTTGTAATGGTTGTGTTGCCCCTGAGAGGATGGGGGGGGGGAAGATATTAACCATTAAATGGAGGTCTTTTTGTTCATTAGCTGCTTTTATGGTGGGCGAGCCCATTTGAGTAGGGCAGTACTGATAACAGTTTTGTAAGAGAACCATAAGAGACTCTACTATCAAACATCTCTACTATCAAACATATATGATGAGGGTAGAACTTGGGAGAACTCTTCTTAAATTTGCTACAAAGGTTGAGGAATTTGGTTGCTACTTTGGCACTGTGAATATTATCCCTGATAAGTTATTATGCTAAAAGAGGAAGAAAGGAGAGGCAAGAGCCCTTCTAGTGTTAGAAGTTAAAGAAAGCCGCTATTGAGATTCTGAAATTATGATGAGGAAGAAGTCCCGGAATGGACCCCCAAGGTAAGATTGAGAAGACCAATAGTTAAGAGGAAAAAATCTTGGAGCTTCTATTCAATATTTCCTTAAGAATGAACCCCCAAGGTAAGATTGATCTGAATATTTGAGGAATGGAACTTTAGACATTAGCTTAAATTACAATGCTCCCAATACTTTTCATTAAGAAAAACTACACATCCTTTTCAGTTTTCATCACCATGTTTTGACTAGACCTCATGTAACTATATAGGTGATGTCTAGATAATACTGTGTGGAAAAGATTTCTCTTCACATACGTTCATCTAGTTGTAGTATGCAATTTTTTTTTGATAAAAAGTAGTTGTAGTATAAAACACGATCAAGTAAAACCTGGATAGCTTGAAATTTTTTTCCTTTTTTTTGGGGGGGGGGGGGGGGGGGGGGGGGTTGCTTTTAGCTTGTAAAAATATTGAACAAGTACTAAATCCTTCCCTTGTGCCTTTCTAGTGAACTTGGAATTTAGAATCTCATGTAGATCAGTTTGTGAAACTTTTTAGCTTCCATATCTTGCTCCAGTATCAGTTGAGGCCTTAATCTTTTTGATCCTAGCACTACATTGTTTGTGGTGAATAACTTAGGAATTATACAGGTGAATTGAATTGTTGAAGTAAGATTGGGGCTTGCTTAATTATCTTGAATAAGTAACTCTTTTATTCTGGAATTGGTACACCTTATCAAACATTGTTAGCAATTAAAAGGACATGAGTGAGCTATGGTTGAGGAAAGTAATTAATAGTGAGATGTCTTCCTTTGTAACTTAATTGCTCTGTGAAGGCTGATTATTATCTTTCTTAATCAAGCACTTGGGAAAATGATATTCTACACAACACACAGCTCTATGTGATAGAAACAAAGTAAAAGATGGCCCACTTCCTAATTTTTAGCCATTTCCACATCTGTGCCTTTGCTTAGGCATCTGATTGTTATCAATTGCTTTTTGTAGCTGAACTCGGTCTAAAATTAATCGTGATATACAATATGGTTTTGTTTCTGTTGTTTTAGCATGGTGGAAGTACAAATGCTTTCACATCTTCTGAGCAGACCAACTACCATTTTGAAGTAAATGCTGACAGTTTTGAAGAAGCTTTGGACAGGTAAGACGTTTACATCCTAATATTGGTTTCTTTTAATTTACATCTATGGGTTTTTTTTTTTTTGTTAATGTGATTTTGTTTCTTCAGATTTGCACAGTTTTTTATCAAACCATTGATGTCAGCTGATGCTACAATGAGGGAAATAAAAGCTGTTGACTCTGGTTAGGCTTTTAATTTTCCGCTTCTTGGTTTATATCTAGTCAATAAGATAATTGCTGAATTACTCTCACACTCTCTTGTAGAGCACCAGAAGAATTTACTATCTGATGTTTGGAGAATGAACCAGGTGAATTATTCCACATCCTACATCTAGAGGGGATGTTGCTTTGACATTGCAACTGTTTGTAGTGTTAGTATTCCAATTAGAGTACCATCATTACTACTTTTTGAAGTCTATCATGGGATGGTAGTTTTCCTTTTCTCTGCCCCTGGATATTACTGGTTATCTACTGGTATGGTACACGTTGGGCATGACTGACTGTTCACTTGATAGGAATGGATGCATGGTAGGTATATGCTAGATATACTTGGTAAATCCCTTTCTTTTTTGTGTCTTTCATTGCTATTAATCCAGTGCCAATACATCTTGGCCACTTAATTTCAATTTCCTGGGATGTAAATAACTGCAACATTCATTTGAATTAGTTGCTAATTTGCTTATGAGCTCGAGCTCAAGGACGTCAAGAGCCATAGTATCATGTGGTCTTGGTTGTTCATGTATGCGCCTTGTCTTTTTTTCTTCTACCCTATAAACAGCCAATTGACATCTCTATCTGGTTTGAGCAATGAAACTTGTGAAGTACCATGACTTTCTCCTCTTTAAAGGACCTTCATTAATTTCTTGAAATTGGACTATTTTCCAATTTTTTAATTAGTGATGAAGATCTGCTTCCCCAGGAAAAAAAAAAAAAAAAGAAGGCTGTTCTTAGCCTTTTGTGCTATGTAAAGTGAAGTGGTTCCAATCAAAGTTAAAAATGGCATGGTTCTCCACCACTATAGGCTCCAGCCTGTGCTAGGCTATCGGTTATAAAAAATTACTGGACTCTAGCCTCGTTTTGGCACATGAAAAACTCCTCCAGTTCTATATCACTCTTACTTTCCATAAGGCTGCCTGTCGAGATGTTCATTTGAGTTGTTACATTAACAGCAACATCTTAATAGAGGTAGTGTAGAATACGTTGGTTGAGGTGGATGAGTGGCAAGACTGCAAGCGATTTGCTAAGTCTCTCATTCAAACATGAAGTTTGCACCATGAAAGACCAAATATGAGTTGTTTTTAAGTTCTTTCGAGCAATGATGTAGCAAACCTATTGAATTGTTTTTATTCCATTTAACTATTTGCATATCCCTTTTATGTAGCTTGGGAAATAATTCAAATGTTTTTCCTTCTTAAAATATCACTGTGCAGCTCCAGAAACATCTGAGTTCAAAAGATCATCCATACAATAAATTCAGCACAGGTATGGAAAATGATTAGGGGTTCAAGTTATTATTTACCAAATGTCCTTGCTTCACGTATTTAGAAACACCAAATTGAGTATGTTTATTGTGTGATGCATGAGTTTATATGCTTGGGCCAGAGGCTTTGGGAGACAAGTATGTTCTTCTTTTTCTTGTTATGACTGTTCTGAACTCATGTATGAATAGCATGGCTTGTACCTCTTTTGCCTTACCCATATTATGAAGGGGAATTTGCATCTAGAGGAAGATAATATCTGTCCTTCCTTGTACCTTTTTTTTGTCTATTTTGCAAATCAGTGAGGTATGGCTTATGCGTGCTTATCTAGTCTTGATGTCTGCTTTAAAACTAGGTGTTTATAGTGAAGCTTTACTCTTTGATGTCATGTCCTGTAAGGAAGTGCATCTTTGCCAGCTGGTGTCTTCTGTTTATATTATCCTGAATAAATGATTGGGTACATGCGAATTTATTGGCTATATAGCTTTAGGAAGTAAATCAGTGCTAAGAATAACACAATTCTTCATTTGGTTCTGTAAAAAACTTTGATAAGATTCTCCTTCGTTAGCTTTGTCATCTTTCATTTGTGCTCTATTCTGACATTCTGTTAAGCTTTTGCACATTCTTTTCAAATATCTTCTTCTTACATGAAGCTTACGCTGCTCTATACAAATATATTGCTTAAACGTGAGAGTATATTTTGGTCCTCTTCCTCTAGGTAATGTTGTTAGCTGACTAATTGAACTCTCTGGTTTTGCTTATGGCACTAAATTCTTGAATTTTACTTTGATTAATTATATCGTTAAAAGTTTAACGATTGCATGTTCTATCATTCTTTACTCTCTTCCTACTGTGATTTATACTAAGGATTTTTTTTTATTCGACTTATATGCTGAGATTACTCTTGGATGGCTGTTTAGCAAAACCCATATTACATAGGTTGTATTGTTATATCGTAGAGAGAATTGACACAAATGTGCCTTCTGGTGTAAGTAACTTTACTTTTCTGAATGGTGGAGAGATTAGCAAAAGCAACACACGTCCAGATTCAAGGACTGCAGATTTGATGCCATAGATGGGTTCATGTTTGATATGGTTATGCTTCCAGTCTTTCTTGTGAATTGTGGCTTCAAGTGTTGGCATCTAGTTGATTTTTCTACATATTCTCTTGCTGGATAACTTCCTATGGACTACATTATAGTTCTTTTGCAGCTTTAGCAGGCAGTGTTGGTGTCAAATTCTTTATTTATGCCCCTTAAATATTGCTGATTGTTTTAATTTGGCAGCTTTTCAGTTTTGTCCTTTCTTATGGAGCTTTGCTTATGAACTCAACGAACTTGTTTAGTTGCGATTAGTATCTCAGGGAAAACTTATGCTTTCTATAAATATGTATCTGTTTTTCAATGAGGATGATCTTTATACATCTTGCATTGTGCTTTTGTACTAGACATTGTACTTAATCTTGCTGCGCAAATTCTTCATTTTCGTTTTAATTCTCCAAGATTTACATGACTTTTTTTTAGTGCTTACTATGCTTGAATACACTGATAAATCATTGCATGAATAGGGAGCTGGGAGACATTGGAGGTGCGGCCAAAAACAAGGGGGGTGGATACCAGGCAGGAACTTTTAAAATTTTACAAAGAGAATTATTCAGCCAACCTCATGCATTTGGTTGTTTATGCAAAGGGTAAAGAACTACTTGCATGTTTTTGTTACTAAAACACTTCACTATCAGCTGGATTGAACTTTATTCATGTGAATATGTTCAGATGGCCTTGATAAAGCTCAATCCATGGTTGAAAACAAGTTTCAGGAAATTCGAAATATCAATAGGAGTTCTCCCTGTTTTGCTGGTCAGCCTTGCACCTCAGAACATCTTCAGGTACTTGAACAAATTAAGCAATTCTATCATGATTTTTCAGTCGAGAAGCAAAGAATGACTGATTGCCAATTGGATTGCACGAATGTTGGATATTGCTTTCATTCTGTCTGTTAAGTTTCAATGGATAATGTGATAGCATATTATGACAAAAGAACTTCTTCACAGGAATATATATAATTATTTGGTTCTTGTATCACACTTTCAATTTATTTTATCATAGAAATAGCTATCATTTTCAATGCAGGGTTAACATTTTATATAAAAATATTTCTTAATGTTCATATTTATACTCGTTGGAGCTGCACTTTTGGAGATTCTCAAGCCATTTCATTTTTCTTGCTTTGGCACATCCCCTACTATATTAAAAGACAGTACTCTACCATAATTTTGGTTAGTTGCAAGACCAAAATTTGACCTTGGGTCTAGCTTGCTGGTTAACTCCTCTTTTAGGTTAGAGCATTGGAAGAGTCCAGCCAGGTTATTGTGATTGATAGTGATAGTTTTAGAGTTTGACCAAAATTAGAACTGATACTACTGACCAAACTTCTACACTTACAATGCTCCTGAATTACATGGACTCACTCGCTGCTAAAATGAAGCTATATCAAAACCAGTGATAAATTGAAGGTGTGCCATGAGGCAAGGCAATGCAGTGAAAATTATTAGGAGCATGGAGGAGGTGGCATAAGTGTCATGAGAACAACACTGGGCAAATTCCAAGTGTTGACTCAGCACTTGGGCATAAAGGTGGACTCTCTTGGGCAAGAAAATAGGTAAAGCTATTCGTGGGTCACTGGAGAGAAGAGGAGGAGGGCTCGCCCTTTATGTGCAATGAGAATTGCATTACATAATGCCTCCACCTTTTAAAACATCATTTGATACTAAAGCCCTGTTCTCGTATGCTTTAGATTTTGCAATACCTGATTATGGAAAGTGATCATAAAGAACAATCAGGATCGGCAAAAGCTACTATTTGCTTAATTATAGATTTTAGCATTTTATCTATTAAAAATCTATAATCTAAATATGAAAGCAAATGAGAACATCATTAAAATTGATTATCCAAATCAGAATCTATAATCACCTAAAATAATCAATTGAGAACAAGCTCTAAATACTTGGTTATGGGGGTAGGATTCGGATGATACATAGTTATCTCAGATGCAAGAAGAATCAGAATGTGGCCTGGAAAAGAAAAGCATAGAAAATGTGAAAAGAACTCATGTTTTATACATATGACAACACAGGATCTTTTTTCAGCTACAAGACTTTTACTTCCTTGGGACAATTCTGAGGCTGTAAAGTCTTCAAAGATTTTATGGCAGGGATTGAGAGTGTGAACTTGTGGAGAATTAGTTTAAGATAATTCGCTTCTTTTGCACAGTATAATTGGTTTCTTTCTAATGCATTGATCCATGGTAAACTCTAGCTTTTCAATGTTCTTTGATGTAGTGGATCACCAATTTCTCTTCAGTGTCTATCTTATTAACTTCTATTCGGGAACAATAAAAGGCTTTGTTTTATTCTGGTACTGGTTTTCTGTTTGGTTGTCTTGTCAAGTCCTTTGTTGTTAACTTAAAATTATAGAGAATCATGGCTAAATCTAATTTGATGAAATTTGTGTGGCTAGTTTATTTAAGAGCTTTACACCACATCTATTGGGTTTTTTTGGAGTCAAGTAAAATCCCCTTCAATGATGCTGTGTTTTTACCCAACCAAGAATCAGAGATTGAAATTTAAAAGTTGATTGCGTAGGCAATGATGGGAACTGGATGCAACATCAATAACAACTTTAACTAATCCTTTTGTCTTCTATAATTTTCATTCAATTTGTGAAAATATGTGAGTTCTTTTTTCTTTTTTCTCATTATTGAGGTTGTTACTTTGTTCTTTGCTTGTGTTCCTTTATTCAGATTCTTGTCAAAGCTGTTCCAATAAAACAAGGTCACAAGTTGAGAATAATATGGCCAATAACTCCTGGCATACGCCATTATAAGGATGGACCAAGCAGGTACCTGGGTCACTTGATTGGACATGAAGGAGAAGGATCTTTATTTTATATTTTGAAAAAATTGGGTGGGTTCTCGAACAGCACTAGAAAAATTTGACTATTTCTCGACCATAACCTCCCCTTCCTTTCTCCTGCCCCTTGTTTAAGAGTAAACTTGTATTTCTTACCTTTTCATTATGTGATATTCAACCCAACCTGGAGCACTATCAAACTCGTCAAGCAGATATCAGAATATCGACTTAGTTTTTAGTTAATTTGTGTATAATGTTTAAACTGTCTGAATCCTTTACTTGAATACCATGATTGATTTATTTAACGCTTGCATGACATGAGATTAAACTTATTGTTTTGGTCCAATCATGCCTAATGAGTTTGTAAAATTAATTTTTTCAAGCAAAAAAGAAAATTGGAAGTATACTTTTTAGTTTTCAGAAAAAAAAAGAATTTTTCAAATCGAAACTTCTGGAGTTACTATCAATTTCTGACTTTGGCTGATGCTGTAAGTTTCTATACTAATTTTTTCCTGTTATTTGGTTTTTCTGAGTGTCAGAGAGCACATGCTATTCCATTTTCTTCTCCTTTTCACAGAAGGTATTTTGATTCAGAAACAACTTTTGCAGGTTGGGCAACAAGTTTGTCTGCCGGTGAACCAGATTGGACATATGAATTCTCATTCTTCAAAGTAGTTATTGATCTGACAGATGCTGGCCACGGTAAGTATTTTCTCTTTTCCTTCTTTTTGAGGGTCGGGGGGTGGGGGGAGGAATTTTTCCAATTATTCTAGTGGACTTCTTGTTCTGTTGGGTTTGAATTCAGGTGATAGAACTTTTTACTTTTCAAAGAATAATCATTAGAAATTCATCTCTCTATTCCATTACCTGAAACTTTAGGTCTTATTCCATGCTATATTCAACTCTTGATATAACTGCAGAGCATTCTGAGGATATTGTGGCACTACTATTCAGATATATTCAACTTCTGCAAATATCTGGTGCCTGCAAATGGATATTTGATGAGGTAACCTCCTGCTTTACAAGTTGGCAGTCTATGTACTCTGAGCGGCTAGCCGAATGTACAAAAAAATCTGAATTCCCACAAATAACTGCTTTATGTCTCGCTCAGATACCAATATGGACACAATTTTTAAAAAATAGAATAGACCCATAAAATGGCATGCTACCCATGAGGATCTCGGAAATCTACTTCTAAGTTGAAGAGAATTGTCAAGATCCTTCTAAATGCATATACTATATAAAGAGGACGCCATTTAAGCCAGACTCCCAATTTGCGGCACTGCCATGGTAATGGCTCTAACTAGTAAACTGGGATGGGTTTTGGCTTTATTGATCATGGACTGTTGAGTACATCTTAAGCTTTCCCACTTCAAAGAAAATTTTGTTGTTAAGTTAGTGGTCAGCTTTACACTTGTCCCATTTTATGTTTCTCATTGGACAAATGATCCCAACGGCACGAGCAACTTGATGCAAGTTTAAATTGGAGGATTACTTTAGGTCTCTTTGTTGTTGCATGTTTGAACTTTTCTTCCAAAGAGAAGTTTTTGTTGTCTAATTTATACACTACAACTTTTAGGCGTTGGTCTATAGTTTTGGGCTCCATTACGAATTATCTTAATGGATAGCCCCAGAATTTGTGGCGCGCATCACATACTATGTTTGTTTATGTTCTCAGACATTTAGCTAGGAATATTTTCTTAGGGAGAAGTTCAGTGAAAGTTCTTTGTTATTTTTCTTAAACTGGTTGATCAAGTTGGTTTTGCTTTTGCTTTTTAATTTTGTTTTTCATATATACCATGCCCAATGTTTTTACATTACTGTTGATTGAGATAGCAGATCACAGAAGGAAGCTCCTAATTAACTTATCCAGAAGAACTTTTTTTTCTTCTTGAAGTTCATTGACTGTGTGGCAACTTGAAGATGCATGAGTTTTGCCATTTTACAACCTATTTTTCACTTTTATGAATTATATCATTATTGTCCATGTTATTGTTGGTGATGTCACTCTCTGGATCTTATTGTTTGATAAAAAATGGAATTCTTGTGCTGAGACATAGCTATAAAGGCATTTTGGAGCACTAATAATCTGTTTCTCTCCTTTTTATTGAAGATTTCAGCTATTTCCGAGACTGCATTCCACTATAAAGATAAAATTCGTCCTGTGGATTATGTCGTTCATGTTGCAATGAATATGCAGGTAATTATAATGATCTATGGTGCTTGTGCCTTTCTTGGTTATTTTTTGCGGTACAATTGATTGATTATTCTGAATGCATAATTGAAGTTTTGGTTTGGATTGTTCTGGATCTTGAAATATGAGATGTATTGGCAGTTTTTCAGACGTTTAGCAAGTGTACTGTTTAATTTTTCTTCATGGGATAGCATTTTGTGCATGCAGCTAGTGTAACTGTTTGATGTGCTGATTTTCCTTCACAGAAAATTTAACCCCAAATCGGAATCAATTTCACTTTCTCACCTTAGATGCTTCTTGTTTAAGTGCTTGGAATTTCTGGGTATTATGGAATGATAATAAAGAATTCATGTTGTAAAGCAATTTCTTAGTAGCTGCTAATTCTGTACTTTGATGGGTATACAATGAGAAGCCAGATTGTGTTGATAAAAAGAAATTTCTTCTGCATAGGTGATGAATAAAGTTTCTTGGTAGTAGGAACTGAATGTTTACTTAAAATTGGCTTTCAGCTGAATAGTGGCTAGTAGTCTTGATGGTTCTTTTTGAATATAAGTATAGATCCTTGGTACTACCTTCACTCAATTACATGTTGTCTTTAGTTGCTTCTAGAGTTGAGATGGAAAAGGGACATTCTTCGCTAATAAGTTCTTACATCTACCCTGACTGATGTTTGCTTTTATTTCCAATTGTGTTGGTGAGTTTCTTTTCAGTTGTATCCTCCAGAAGATTGGCTGGTGGGATCATCTCTGCCTTCCAATTTTAGCCAAGGCATCATCCAGTCAATGTTAGATGAACTGACTCCATGTAATGTCAGGTGGGTGATTGCTGCTTCATGATATACTTCCAGAAAAGGCACGTTGGTCTCTGAATTTAGGCAAAATTAGTTAATGTTTAAGCCATATTCATGAATTTTAATTTTAAATTGTTAAAGTAAGATTATGGATCTCTTAGTTGGATAGTTATTTTGTTTGTAGCCATATTTATGATTGGTTTCTTTGACACTGGGACCGATAGCTTAAATATAAGAGTCAAGTTAAAAGAAAAATTGAAAAAGAAAGAAAAAAGAAAAGAGTTGAAAAGGGATGGACACAACATTCCAAATCGTGCTCCTTCTCTGTATACAGTATATAATATTTGATTCAGGTTAAGTTATTCTCCAGATCTATTCACGTTGTCAGCTTACTCTTAAAGTTATGTTATTTAAGGAGGCCTTACGTGGGCAAAAAGACCTTTTTTTGGCAAAGAATTATACTGCAGAGCCCCTCTACCCATTCAAAAAATCTTAGTAGAGAGACTCGTTAGGTGAGAGGCAGCTTGTGGTGCTCCCCCTTTGGACTTTTTAGAGAGGTATAGAACTGTTTTATTCCCTACAGGGTGACATAAGTAGGCAGGGGCATTTTACCTGCTTTGTTGCATGGTGGCTGATGCAAGAATGAGCTTGAGGCTACATGTTCATGTTTGTCCGCTGCCTTTTACATGTTGAGCACATAGGGTTCCATCACTTGCTTTTAGGGCTTAGTGACTATTCAGATTTGCATTTGTGTTCTCTCTTACTTCATTCTCATGGTTTCTCAAGTGCTTCTGTTTGGTCCGTGTAATCCATGTAATATCCAATGATTAAAGTTGGTAAATTTGAAAACTATGGGAAAACCTGTGCTGTCTAAAGTTATATTCTCCAATTATTAGGTATGATGATGGTTGTATTTTTTTTCTCAACATAACATGGAAATAGAAGCATGAGACTTCTGTTCTTTTCATCAGAGTTAGCTTATACAGGTGGCTATAGGTAGAGTTGAATAAACACCAAATTGTCAAAGCTACCCAATTTGAGGGCTACACTGTCAGAAGTACTAGTCTACTGATACACAAGGTAACTTTGTGCACGTTTTTCTTAGAAGTTGCCAAAGAGACCCTAAGCTGCTGAAGCTTAACCTGGATCATCTTCTAACATAACACAAATAAAATGCAAATTGCAACTATAACTTATTGCAAGTATGGTGATCAAATTAAATCATAGAGAAATTTGTAATATAGAGAATTAGATTTCAAAAACTATTACTGTTTAGCAAGTCCATGACAATTAAGATGACAGAGAAATACTTATACAGGTCCACAATATCATACTACTTCCGAAGTTCAAGATATTTTATTGACAAGTGTTTCATGGTTTAGCAAGAGGTCAATCACCATTCTCTGGGACCAGTATTTCGACCATAAGGTGTCTTTTGAAAATCCCTTGTCATAGTACCCTAAGATTGACTATGATGTTACAAACCTATTCTAAAAGATCAGTTTGATCTCTGATTATTATTTTTCTAAATCTTATGGTCTCGGTATGTTGAGTTAAACTATAAACACCTGTTGGTATAATGGTGAATGCTGCATTATCCGTCTATCTTTAAATATCTGTATATTTCCACTAAAATTAGACCTATATTTGACAGGGTTTTTTGGGAGTCAACAAATTTTGAGGGGCATACAGACATGATTGAGCCTTGGTATGGAACTGCATTTTCTGTTGAAAAGTTGACTAGTTCTATGATTCAGGTTTGTCTGCTGGCTATCTGTTATTGGAGATAACTTCGCTTTCCATTTTATTTTTTGCTGTCGGAACTTGTACAATTTACTCATAGGATTGTAAAAACACGTGTATTATTGCAGCAATGGATGGAAAAGGCTCCTAATGAACATCTACGTCTACCTTCCCCCAATTTATTCATTCCAACTGATCTATCTCTAAAAGAAGTATCAGACAAGGTATTAAAGTTAACATCTTAATTGATTAGATTTTGAGTCATTGAACTTTACGAATTGCTTTAAGTTTTGGAACAGGCAGAATTTCCTGTACTTTTGAGGAAATCACCATATTCAAGGTTGTGGTACAAGCATGATACAGTTTTTCTGACTCCAAAGGCATATGTTAAGATAGATTTCAGCTGTCCGTGCTCTGGGAATTCTCCTGAATCAATAGTTCTCGCTGACATTTTCACACGTCTATTAATGGACTACTTGAATGAATATGGTATGTTGCACAATCTTGATGTTGAAAGATGAGCTCTGCCAAGTTGACTATGTAAAAGTCATTGTTCGCTTTGAACAGCTTCACCCTTTATTGTCTGGCAAATGTCTATGTTTCTTTGTTCTCATTAGTCTATACCTGTTTGTACATGTCTTGTGATGTTTTTTATCTCATATTGCACTGGTGCTTGCACATGTGCTTAATTTAGAAGAAAATCTTATGTTAATTTGCAATTTTCAGCCTATGATGCACAGGTTGCGGGCCTTTATTATGCGGTCAGTAATACAGACAATGGTTTTCAGGTGCTTGTTATGCCTCTCTATCTGTTTTTAAGGTTTTTGATCGCTTTGTTGGTTTGAAGAAGTTAAGTTGCACTTTGTTCTCCCTCTCTTATATGAGTTTCACTTGATTTCAGAATTTGAATCACTCATATGGTAGTTTATTTATTGTGTCTGTTCATTGATTTACTCTATTGATTGTTAATGATATCAAGATTGAAGTTTATTTAAACATTTGAGGTGCATATGAATTAAATGCTTCATTGGTTATTCAATGAACTTTTCTGAAAGGCTTGTCAGCACAGGCAAATGATTATAGTAGATAATAAAAGGGATGCATTAATCATGTTACCTGAGCTAGAAAGTAATTCTTCCTTCTGACTGCTGATTCATATCATTAGTTGCTTTTTTCCGATAATTTGGATTCTTGAAATATATGAAGTATCTTCTTGACCTTTGCTATTGCATTTTGTCACATTTCTGTCAAACTTCCAGATTTGTGTTATTGCTCCATAGTAATTTTTCCCATTCGAGTTGCATATGATGTTTTTATTACTTATGATCTTTGACTTTTATTTCATTTGTATCCCTCTTCTTAGGTGACAGTGGTTGGATATAATCACAAATTAAGGGTCCTGCTCGAAACTGTCGTTGGAAAAATTGCAAATTTTGAAGTAAAACCTGACAGATTTTCTGTAATTAAGGTCAGAACTAACTTTCTTTGTATATACTGTCAACCACTTATTACAGCTTAACTTCTATCATTATCTGCTTCTGCCTGTTTCTTCTCTTTGTCTTTCAAAAGCTCAAGTCTTTTCAGTTTATTTTCTCAATACTGTCATTAAAAAGAGTCGATTTAGCTGTGCTGTATGAAGATTGCTGGTTTTTTGGAGATGATTTAGAATAGTATCATATGCATCATCATTTTGAAAATCATGTTAACTGGTGAAAATGAAATTTTTATGCTTGTTGGATTTGGAACCAAGTGGTTCATAAACATTTGCGACAAAAATATTTTTTTCAAAACAAAAGATACGGTTGATTGTCTATCAAGTGATAATGATGAGAAAGGAATGTGTTATGCATTGAGAAGTATAGTTTGTATTTCCATTATCCTTTTGTTAGTCAAATAACTTTTATCTATGTTGACACACACTAGTCTCAATTGTTTATCAAGTCTTGTGAACAGCTAATGCAATATCGGTTACCTTGATCTTCTAGTCATCTACTCATCCTCTAGTAAATTTTTCCCCGATCAAAATTATTGTAAAGGTAAAGAAAGCTCTTTTATATCTTTTATTCGAGAAATTCACCAAAACAAAAATGTAAAGGAATGACAAATGTCGGTATGATACAGGAATAGAACTAAATTTTCCTCACTTTAACAGGATAAACTACATGCAATAAGTTTAAGCTGATAAAAAATATACCAAAAGAATTAATGGCACTTGTTATAGGAATTGAAACATTTGCATTCTGATAATAGCAGAATATGCAATCCCTACAAAAGAACCTCTATAGCACTGATTTAATGTCAGAGACTTGTTTCTCAAATTATGGTCATTGGCTAATTGATTTGTTGGTTCTAGGTAGTGGTTGCCAACTTTTATCAGCTAGATTATACATTGCAGAATATCAAGTATTGCAGCATTGCTTGTAGACGTGGCCAGTTGCATGTAATCTTGTGGAACTACTGGGGAATTGGCTCTATTCTCTCTTGTTTTAAATGTTCTCCCTAATGGCTGAAATTTGGTAGTTGAGTTGTTTAAAATGTTGAAATAAAGTACTGAATGATGTACATACATCAGAAACAGTGGGAGAATTGACATGAATAAGCACAAAAGTGGTGATAATATAGCTGCAAAACAGCAAATGCTTCTGATGTTTAGCTGGATCTTTGAAACACTTTTATCAGATGTTTTCACCATAACTTCTTTCCTTTACTTTCTGATAGGAGATGGTGACAAAAGATTATCAAAATTTCAAGTTCCAACAACCTTATCAGCAGGCTATGTATTACTGCTCATTGATTTTACATGACCAAGCATTGCCATGGACTGAGCAACTTGAAGTTCTTCCACATCTTCAAGTTGACAACCTTCTTAAATTTTATCCGCAGATGCTATCAAGGACCTTCTTGGAATGCTATATTGCAGGTTACTATAGATTGGCTTTTTCTAGATTATTAACTGGCTTTAGCTTATGAACCGAACTTTTATAACTGTCACCTTTTTTCAGGAAATATTGAGCCAAAGGAAGCAGAATCGATCATACAGCACATTGAAAATGTCTTTTACAAGGGTCCCCAGCCTTTATCCCTGGCTTTATTTGCATCTCAGCATTTGTCTACTCGAGTTGTCAAGCTTGAAAGGGGCGTAAATTACTCCTATAATGCAGAAGGTCTTAATCCAAGTGATGAAAATTCCGCTCTTCTGCATTATATTCAGGTACATGTCTTGAAAGCCTTAGGAAATAGTAATGAATACCATAATGCCCTCTGAATCTAATAGAATTCTAGATTTGTATAAACTAAAATATGCATGTCTGAACAAAAATTGTTTGACTATATTTTGATCCTTTCCATCTGTGTAGGACTGAGAAAAAATATTGCTAAAAGTTTTTGAGTTAGTACAAGCTTTCTTCTGGATGTATGAAAGAACCAAAGCTATCACACCCATATGTAGGAAGTCCAATGCCTCTACTTCTACCACTGAATTTCAAGCGTCAGACAGAATATGTAGATAGTGGGGTTTCAGATAGTAATTATAGGTATTGAGTACATTTGTCTGAATGTGTACCACTAATTTTACATTTAGTTAATCCTTTTTTCAAAGGAAAATGGTTTGATTTAAGTTAACAACAACGTGAAATTTATTGAATTTTCTACTTTAAACAAAATGTGTCTCTTAGCATCCTATTTTCTTCTTGTTAATTCTGGATCGACAACTCATATTAAGCTGCCTGCTCACTTGGAGTATAAGTGATCTTTCAGAGTTATTTTTTGCTGCTCATGATCATTCCTCTACCTTTAGAGAGACTGTTTCTATTGTATGCCTGTTTAAGCAGTAAATTTTTTAATCAGTGTTCGTGAGATCCCCGCTTTTGTTCTAGACACAGACGACACATTTACTTATGGGTCAAAAAAGAAGTATTATTTTGGAAAGATTGTGTATGTTCTTTTGTTATTTCCATGTTGTATGCAAGTCTGTCTTTAGGTCAAAGACATGGTTGTGTGAAAATCCATTAATTTGTGGAGCAAAGGAAAGGCACCAATTTCCAGTGAAAAGCATACAGGAGATGCCTTTGCAGATTCACAGACAGTGAGTTAAGAACTAACCTGAAACATCTTCTGCTGGTGCATTTTTAAGCCAAAAGCTCTTGAAGGAAAATAAAAGGCCTTTGGCAATCAGAACTAAGTTTTTGGTGTCTTGTCAAGCTCGGCAATCAGCTTCTGTAATAGTATATAAATCTTGTAAAATCTAATTTCTTCCCCTACTCAAGATGTGCTTTTTGCCTTTTTATGTGTCCTTTCAGGACTTATGTAGGTTGACCCATTTTTATATGTCTTGCTAAAGTTCTAATGCAAAAAATTCTTGAAAGTGCAGGTGCATCAGGATGATTTCAAGTTGAATGTTAAACTTCAGCTGTTTTGTTTGATAGCCAAGCAACCAGCTTTCCACCAGCTTAGATCAGTCGAGCAGCTTGGTTACATCACTGTACTTATGCAAAGGTATGCAACATGTTGCATGGAGGAGGATATTCCGATCATATGTTCTGTACTATTTAATATTTTTTCCATAACAGGGATGATTTTGGAGTTCGAGGAGTACAATTTATCATCCAATCTACAGTAAAGGTATTCATAGACTTATCTTATTTTATTCAACAATGTTTAAGCCCTTTTTCATTTTTACGGATATTGATATATTTATTACTCACAACAAACTCTTTTGGCAGGGTCCTAAACATATTAATTCCAGAGTTGAGGCATTTCTCAAGATCTTTGAGAGTAAACTGTATGAGATCACCCCTGAAGAATTCAAGGTAAGCTTAACAAACTTGTAGGATTTGTTTTGTTGCTGACAAAATTAAGGGGCATTAGTCATCCCATGAATTCCTTGTCTTGAGATTGAGGATCATTGATACTTAAATTCCTCTCAACTTATTCCGTGTACCTGATTGAAATTATAAGAGTAACTTAAAGCCCATTGATGGCAAATTTTGAGAGTAATCCACGTGCAGGTTTGGATTAAAAAGGATGAGAAAGGATACTATAGTTAACAGAAATTTCCTTCCATTGTTATTCTAATAGCACCTAATAGCCAAATAATTACCGTTTACACCTACAACCTAAGATTCTTAATTTTCATTTTTAGTGGTTTACTGGCCGGTTTACTTGCCATATTGGGTTAAAAATATTGGCAATGGGAGGTTGGCCTGGTGCCGTGGGAGAAATCTGCGGGGACAGGGATGGATGAAGAAAAGCTCCCCCAGCCTTATTGGGATCAAGATGGTTTCAGGCATCTCCCAGATAAAATGACACATATTAGTCTTAAGTAGGATTGTTCTATGTGCACTTATATATGCAGACATAGCTGAATTTTTATATAAATTTACACACAGTGTCGTGCCAGATGTTATTTATGCATTTATATGCACACACATACAGAAAGACGTATATTTATGCATGTCTAATATAGACATATGAAGTTATTGAAAGACTCTTTCTGTCGCACATTGTAGGCATATTTAGTAAAGTATATATATCATATATATTTTTTTAAAAAATTTCATGATTTTCTTTTTGTGTATAATTTCCAAACTTTGTTGTTGTTTTTGGTATGTTTGTGTTTAATTTGTGAACATTATGTTTTAGCTTTACTGATACTTTCATATTTTATGTCACAGTTGGATATTTGAGCTGAATAGTAATTTACATAAAAATATATTCTTTCAATTAATGATTTTTGTAAAAACACACGCTGAAAGCTAACGTCCAAGTAAGGCCCATTGGGGATGTGGGGGAGGGGGGATAAATTGTTCAGATGAGGTAGGTGGTGGGGAATGGTACCCTTCTCCCAAATTATTGTTATTAGTTACAACTACCATTCGTCATTGATCATCCCCCCTAATATCTGGTTGTTTTGAGGTTACTAAAATTGTATTTTTCATGGATTCTAATATAATTGCATCAGTTTTATGGTCAAGCCTTGGCTATATGAAGAATGTTCGAGGACATAACGACTGGGGTTAAGTTAGAATTACAATTTCTTCACTTGGCTCTTTCGGGCTTTTAACATAGCTTCTGCAGTTCACACATTTTTGGGCAATGATATTTGTTAATATGTTATATTCATTTATTATTTGGTTTAGACATTTTTGGCAATATGATGTCTTGTCTATTGATCTTTTTCTTACGCCATTCTTTCACTGACAAAGTTGGCTTTGGACTAATATCTAATGTTCCTTCATGCTCATTTAGGTTATGTCAGCAACAGAAGTATTTTTAGTTATTTACTGTATTATTGGTTTGAGATTCCGGAAGGCATTTCAAAGTCTAGTGGCTTAGTTTTTTTTCCCCTTGATGATTTTATGAAAAAGAACCTTTGATTTGTTTATGCTGCAGAGCAATGTTAATGCACTTATTGATTTGAAGCTTGAGAAATACAAGAATTTACGAGAAGAATCTCGATTTTATTGGCGAGAAATTTCTGATGGAACCCTCAAATTTGACAGGAGAGAACGTGAGGTACAAGTTTTTTCTTTATGAGTTGCTCAAACTTCTTACTTGACTTGTGGAAGTGGCTTTTTTTTTTTCAATAGGACATGGATTGCTCCAGTGTCTTGCTTATTTGTTGTTTATTCCACAGAGACTGAAAAGTATTTGAAATCCTTGGTTATTGTTGAAACAGGTTGCAATATTGAAACATTTGACCAAAAACGATCTCATAGATTTTTTCAATGAACACATTAGAGTTGGCGCCCCTCAAAAGAAGTCATTAAGTGTGCAAATTTATGGAAGTTCTTATTCTTCTGAGTACAAAGTTGAGTCGGTTGAACCTGGCATTCATCAAATCGAGGATGTATTTAGTTTTAAGAGATCTCATCCTCTCTTTGGATCATTTAAAGGAGGCATTGGTCTTGTAAAGTTATAATTTTGGTTGTTCAATTGTACAAGTTTATGTACAAGATATCATTGAGAAAAAAGGATTTGCCATCCAATTTATCAACAAAATGAGGGCAGGAGATCAGGCATAAGCATGGATGATGAAGTATTGATGTGTTTATGAGAATTAAGGTTATGCACAACTCTTGTTACTACTTTTTAATTTAGTTTAGTTCATATTGTTGCCCACATAATTGACCTTTTTCCCTCTGGAACTTGTTTGAATATTTGACATTTTTCCCTTAAAATGTCGACACAAGGCCATGTAGTATATATGGATTGCTCATCATTAATCTGTCAGGAATCCTAACTGAATTAGTGATATTCTTCTGGGTTTAGCATCCAGAAGATGAAGATGAGAGCTATCCAGTAGATGAAGATAAACAAAGAAATGAAGCTTTGAAAGAACTGAGAAGGAGAGAATTAAAGAAAGAGGGAAATTGAGAAATGGAAATTGTAATCTGTTGTTGCCTGCCTTATCCTTCCATCATTTACTAGTATATGTCCATGTTTATATGCTCACTCGCTCAAATTCCCACCAAAACTACACTTCTAAAACTAGCAATATTAACAAGTAAAACATCGATTATCCAATATATTTGGAGTCATGACACAATCCCGGAAGAGACTTGGACATAAACATTGTGATGTTCTTATTAGCAATGATAACGATCCCAAAACAGAGATTTCACACTTTTTGTTTGGTGCTTCCTAGTATACTTGTTCTAGTTTAGACTCGATCTTAGTTCCTTCTGCACCCAGTTTATCATACATAACTTATTGTGGAGCTAATTGTGCAACCATGTATTTGTGTTATAGTAATTAGTAGGTAGTATTTTCTTTTTTTTAACAATTCTATCAATACTCATTAGATTCAAATTGCATGAGTATTGTATTGACTAAGTTATAGAAGTAGGTAGGTTTTGAATTTTGTTGTTCTTATATGATTTGAACTATGTGATATACTAAAAGTATATAAAATTTGCTAAATCTATTCTTTTTTAAAAAAAAATTATGCGAAATCTATTCTTGTTTATACTAAATATACATCTTATTTATAATTAAAAAAGTAGTCCTTAACCTTTTAAATGGCCTAGTTCTCAAAAGGATAATGATATTGACCGTCTGTATATTTTGATGTAGGTGTTTAATGTCTCTATTTATGTAGAAAAACAAAAGTAAACTCGTCTTATAGATTACATCATGCATGTAGTATTAAAACTTCTCACTTAAGCAAACTGAATGGTCAAAACACAGAGTTAATGCAAAGTTGAGTTGTTTTAAACACAAGATTTTGCATTGTAACGTAGTAATATGGTAACAATTAAGCAAGTACTAACGTGGAACACGATGAAAAGTTTCTTAAAGGGGGTTGGTTTGAAGAATCACTTATCAGGCACCGCCTAATTTAGGGATGGCGGGCACCCACCCTCCAGGAGGTTAATGGGGCAGGGGAGGGAGGATGAGGCCGCGCGGGGTCATTTTCTTTTTTTTTTTGTTAGCACGATGGATTTTATATTAAACCTACTTCTACTATATATTAGAGGGAGAGGGATCTAAAGAGGTTAAAGAGAAATCCAATGAGTCACCATTGATCCAGACGGATATCTACGCATCTACTGACGAAATTTTCAGAATGTTTGGATATTAGAATGCAAATCAAGAGAGTTGATTTATTAACCTACATTCAAGTAGAGTTTTAAAGTTCTCTTGGTGGCCAATTACTCGGGGGTTGCGGGCGCTCACCTCGGCCCTTTTCGGATTTCCATTGTCGAGGTGATTACCTCGGCTCCAACGCACCTCATCTTTGCCTTCTTGAGATGAGTATTGTCTCGGTTTTATCGATTTGGCTTCGCTTTCGAGCATGGTTACTCGCCTTGATGTATGACGTTCGCAGGCAAAGCTGGTTGATACCTGGCAAGTTGATATGATCACTGCCGCCCTCCTGTCTAGACCTACTTCTGACACCGCCACCCTACACTGTCGTGCTGCAGTTGACCAGAAGTAGAATTCATCATTCTTTCCATAGGTCTCTCTACTATAAATACCCTTCTACTATTTGTGAATAAGGTATGCAAAAACTCAAATCCAATTGGTTTTACTTGTAACTTTTGATCCGTAACTGACTTCAACATCGGAGTGGGATCGGAGGATAAGACGCCGCACGCTCTTATATCTCAACAGGTGAGTTCGTGCTGCCGACTCGACTCGCCCGTCCGGAAATCACCTCGTTAGAGGTCATTTTCTCCCCCCAGTTAAAAAATGAGCTAGGGGCTGGAAAGTACACTTCTACCCCATCATTATTTAAATAAATAAATAATATATATAATTAGTACAACTAATGATGTTTGTATATATATTATATTTATTAGTTATAAGTATTAGATTATGTGTATGTAATATAATTAATATTATTAATTATACTAATAATTATATATTTATATTAATGCAAATTATTGATTAGTTATACTAATACATTTATACTAAATTACTGATTACACTTTTTACTAATTGTACACGTTTTTTTGCCCCGTCAAGGAAGTGACGCGAGGTGTAGCAGGGGTAGGGGGAATGTTTGGGCAAGGGGCGGGAGGCGACAGAAGGGTCTCCTGCCTCCACCCTTGCCCCATTGCCATTCCTAACATAAATTGTTTAAAACCATAAAAGCTATTATAGAGTATCCTCAATTTTGAGTTAGCTTATAAACATTCTACCATTTTTATACATATTTTTCTTATATTAAAAAGATCCAAACATATTAGTTTGGATTACTTATAACTTATTTCAAATTGTAGAATTGGGAATTAATATTGCCTTTTAAGCATGTAAAGGTTTAAGTATTTATAGATTTTCTGCATGAAATTTGTTGACATAATATTTTTTGAAATGTGGGAACAATTCAAATTCTAATTTTTGCTTCTCTTTGTGAGCTGTGAATTCTCCACACGTTTAATAAGATGTAGCAATTTACACAAGTAAATTTACAACTTGGTGCACGAATAAAATATAGTTTTATAAGGTATTAATATAATCTATGAACTTTAAACATCAAAACAAAATTTCTTCAGTAACCATCATAGCACTTCTTTACGAATTAAACCTTCATTTTTGAATATTTGTAAGAACGTTCTTGTCAATAAGGCCTATGCTCCATGAGGAATAGTAGTAAAAGTTGATCCCTGCAAACACATTCATTGGTTAATCCTTAACTCTCTGATTTTTCTCGTTTTAGTAGACTAATAGTAGCATGTTGCTATTAGTCCGATTGTGTTCATCTTATAAATGTATATCCTTTTTGCTGTTAACCAAATATATATATATATATATATATATATATATATATCAAAGATCATATTTTTCTTCTCGATTTTTAATTATTGAAGACTAATTCTTAGGACCTTAGCTCGAGCATGGACAGACATGATCAAATGCGAAAAGTGTATTTTTATCCCATCCACATTTGATTTTGAATTTCTCTTTGTTTGAATTCTTTCTCTTCGTGTTGGATTTTTCCTTTTCTTCTGGAATTTTTTTTTTATTTCTTCCCTCGACAATCTCGGGTACCATCACAACATTTCTCTTCCAATTCCTTGCTTAGGCTATAACAAATTTGAACCCGAAACTTGTAATATTAGCTCAATATTCTAGGAGCATCACTGAACATAAATCATTTTCTTGAGATACCTTAAGGAAGAAGGAAATTATGTTCGTATGACACAAATTTTGCATAATTTAGGAAATCAAGGTGGAGTGGAGGCTACTCTTTTTCTAATCCTAAATTTTTTTTTTTCTATTTAAAAGTACAATTTTTTTTTTTGTCAGCAACGATACATGTACCTACTCTATCCTAAAAAGTACAGCTTCTTAACCCCACAGTTTTTGGATCTAAATCCTCTGTGATTGTAAGTGCAATTGGAAAGAATGATTAATAGATTTGACAGTTGAAATTGGTCCAATCGAATTCGGATTGACTTTGGCTGTTAAATTAAAATTTATTTAAATTTTAAATTAACAATTGAGCCCAACTCGAGTTCGATTAGATTAATATTGACCATCAAAAAATCCTCTACTATTGTAGCTGCAAAGGATCCGGATCCACATCTTTTGTATTTTTGTTCCCTCCCTGCGCAATACTTTCCTTTGCTTACGATTCTCGCTACTTGCCCTTTTTTTAATACAAATTGTGCTATTTTTCTCGCATAAGAATTAAAGCACTATAGGTTGGGGGACAACTAAGCCTGCAAACGAATAGAGCCGCTCTGCACTGAGTCAAGCTCGACTCGAGCTCGATATTGATCGAGCTTGAACTGGCTCGAGTCGAAATCAAACTCGAACTCGAGTTCAAGATATTAAGCTGCCTCGCGAGTTCGAGTATATAAATATATATATTTTTTATTTTAAGTATATATATATTTTTTATTTTAAGTATATATATTTTTATTTTTTATTTTAATAGTAAAATTACATATATATTCTTAATATTTTATTATTTATTAAGAAAAATATTATTTATTTTATTTTTTAAAAAATAAAATAATTATTTTTTATTTTTTTTGAATTCGAACTCGAGTTTTAAATTGTCCGGCTCGTCGAGTTCGAGTTTGAATTCGAGTTCACTAAAATTAAATCAAAACTCTGGCTCAATTAAACCAAAACTCAACTCGGCTCGCTTGCAGCCTAGGGGCAACAAAGGACATATAACCCATTTAATTAACAAACCAATATCCAATTTCAGATTTTGCACATATCCTTTGAAATTCTATGAAGACAAGTAGTGACTACTGTCTGTTTCTGGCGGCTCAAGTAAACTATAAATAGTAATATTCCCACTCGAAATGCCTTAATCAACTAGTAAGTACTAGTATATTCTCTTTCGACTCTGCCTTCCCTTCCCTTCCCCGTGAAAAGCTATCTGCAGCTACGCATAGAGTTGAATATCGCAGGAAAAATGGAGGAGGAAACGAAAACGTTGGAGATAGTTAAAGCTCGTTCAGACAAGAGAGAGTACCGAAGGATTATCCTCAAGAATTCTTTGACAGTCCTACTGATTAGTGATCCTGAAACCGATAAGGTTTTGCAGTCTTTCTTCATCTAAATCCACCTTTATTCTTACTATTTTCTTTTTCATTTTCTGCTAATTTGATTCATTGCACAGGGAATTGGATTCCTCCATTATTTTATTGATGCTAAA